ATCACGTGCATTGGCCAATGACTTTATCAACCCAGTATAGAGAAAACGAGTGTTCTTTCGAAAGTATATTCGAGGAATGAATCCTTTCTTGGCTCAACTACCAATTCCATATATATCATGATCTACCCAACACAAGCCCGTGTCTACCCATAAGGGCGTAAGCGTTGGACTAGGTCTAAGTAAATCACTCTATACATGAATTGCGTATTGACCTCAAGTCAAAGGACTATTACATCATTCCACACACCGATACTTTCATAGACACATAAACAAATGGTTTATCGGTAGGGTGTTCCAATACTCTCCAAAGTATCCATGTGTCCATCACGAATAACAATTATTCATAGCAGTGAGACATACTATATTCTCTAAGAATATGATGCAGACCACATGTCAATCTATCGCGTATCATTAATATCCCTTTCTCAATGATCATCGATTGAGGCGATTTTAGAGTTATACGTTATCAATTAACATCTCACTCTGCTAATGACAGTATCAACTCAAGGGAGCAATTAATTCATAAATTGCAAACAATCAAACAATTATTTAATTAATTGCAATACCATAATTATAATCCAATATAATTATTAATGTGATCATGTATATATATCCTTAAAATGATTGTCTCTAGGACACATATACCAACACAAATGTCTTCCCTCTAATCGTATCCACCTTTTGAAATCATGTTCCGACAATAGTTCCTTCGCTAGTAGAAACTACTCGGTTTTATTCAATAAGTATGGAATATATATTTATAAGGAAATTTTTCAAGAACACTTTCTTGTATTATCACTCAACTCTTTGAATGAATTTTTCTCTTGGAAGAATTTAGCTCAAAAACTTAGCCATTTATGTGCAAACATTTTGCACCTATTTATACTAAACATTTTAGCATACAATAATCAATATTTGATATATTTTATTTTAAATAAAATCAGATTTTATTTAAATAATCATACCAAATATTGACTTTTAATTAATAATGTGATTGGTTTATAACCACCATCAATCATTATTATTGTATTAATAAAAATAAGATTAATTATGTGGATTAGTTAACAACTCCTAACCACTATAATTAATTTATTCTTATTATTATTTAATCTTCAATCATATTAAAGATAAATAATAAAATAATAATTCTTGAAAACATTTTTCAAGACTTTATTATTTTAATCTTGTCGTTAAGTGATTCTTAACGACGATGTAATTGATGATTAAGTGAGTTAATTCGGAATGATTTGAACGTAAAGCATGTAAGATTGAATCAACAATGGCCCCGGTTCGAGGTGAACCGAGGTGAAGAGTCGTGATGGGCTTTTACGTGTTACGTGGTAAAGGGTTTACAGTTCGGTAATTTTGTAGAAAACAGCGGTCCCCTTACAATTGTCATAGGTCCGCTATTTATAGTAGTTTTGGGTTGAGACATTGGGATTCGTGTTCTACTTTTTGAATAAAGTGGCTTTTTATGGGCGGTTCGAGGCAGGGGGCCCCCACATAAATGATGACAGATCTTGTGGAGTAGGAGAGCCTCTCGTAGATGCCTTGTCACCTGCTTAAGGAGGCGACGACTTCGGTTCACGTTGTCCTCGGTGGATGTCGACCTCGGTAATCGTTGATCACTTCGGTCTTTGGCGGTTCAGACCGGTTCTTTGGTGTAGATCGGTGCGGTTCTGATTCATGTCGGTTCAACAGTTAATCGTATTTAATAGGATGCTTAAAAACCTCTTAACAGCGTCTTGCCGAGTTGGATGATAACAGAGAGGCCCCCAACATCGATGGGCATACGGAGTGATGGTCGTTGATGTTGTAACATACCAGGTACTTAGAGACCCTAGATCGGCAAGAAGTCGGCGGTACGATGTGGTCTATGGTGTTCGGTGGATCATCTTCGGTCGATCTACCGATGTGATCGAAGTGGATCATTTGTCCGAAGTGCAGACTGTATGCCGAGGTGGAGACACTTGGTGAATTTTGGGTAATCTTCAAGCAGTTAATGTCAGAGGTGATGAACGGTCGTAACGGTCAACGAGTAAATGTGTAGGCCGAACGGTCGCGCCGTAATGATCTTTAAATGAGGTAACGGTCGACTTTAATAGGCAGCCACGTATACCAGTAGGTGTCTTATCAGATGAATGGGCGGCGTCGGTTAGGATTAAGGGTCGCGTCGGTTCGACGCGCCCCTAATGGTGATATCCAACGGTCACAATCTGATGCTTATAAATAGGGTTTGGCAATATTTGATCGGGTTTTCTTCACCTGTGTTTTCATTCTCGAATTTTCTTATCGCTTTATTGCTTGAGTTCATCTGATTCTGACGAATCTTCCTTGCTTGCTGTGTGTGGGAGATATTTGGTAAGCTTCTTCTTCAATTTCTTTTGTTATTTTTCCCATATTTTGTTCGATCGTACGATGGCGTCGAAAGGAAAGGGAAAGGCGGTGGCGAGTTCATCGAGTACAGAGTCGGTTCCACTGGATGTTTATCACGATTCGGAGTTGGTCGAATTGGCCTTTGAATATCACCGGTGGGACCCGTCGTTGGTAAGGCATTTGAATATCCAGTTAAACGACGAGGATGGTGATGTGGTAGTTGAGCATAACGCAACCGACCTTGCGGTGCCGCATTGGAGAAGACCGGTGAGGAGGTGGCCCGATCCGGCGATCGACTTCATTGGTGAGCCAAGTATTCTTACCGACGCCGACGTTGTCATGTTGAGGGAACAAATTCGGA